TACATGTGTGATGATGATGATGTTATGTTTCAATTATATACTCTGTAATGATACTACAATGTTGAAAGTGACACCAATCCCCCGGACGTTTCCGCCGTCTGGTTCGGGGGTGTGACACTTCTACCCTCACAAACACTCTACAAAATGATTGAAAGATGAATTTTTCCTGATCTTAATCTTAATCGGTCGATGATATGTTTCTCACCATGTTCATGCAAGTGGTAGGAACCATTTTCTCGATCAAGAAGCAGAAAGTTTAGATGTCAGAAGGACTAGAGCTATAATAAACAAATATCATGCAGCTGCACACAAACTTCTGGTACATGATTACTTTGTCGATGATTGTGTGTACGACACTATCTAGTTTAAACGGCGTGTTAGGGAAAACAGGCGATACTTGTCAAGACTCGGAACAAATCTGATGCCACTTTCCAAGTTCTGATGACCCTTGTTAGGAAGTAATGCGGATAACAACAAAACTATAAGCACACAAAGACACAATATTTACGTGGTTCGGTCAAGGTGACCTACGTCCACGGGCAGAAGGGGGGTATTCTTTATTTCAGAGTTCTCAAACAGAGGTTACAAGTACAATTCACCAGAGATCCGTCCTACTCACTAAGGATACAAGATACAAGACTCAAGACACTTCAAATGACTCAGTATGCATCCCTATTTATACTTGAGGGATCAGACCTAAAATCCTAATGGGCCAAGCCCATTGGCCCATAGGCCTATGAAAGGTGACAACCAATCATATTCCGCCATGCAGCATCTTCTAGAACATTCTTCCATGCCATACAACCCATGAGCATCAACAACACACATGATGGAGCACCATGTGCCATAGTGGAGCATCACGATGTACAAGTGGCGCATCATGAACACTAATGGCCCAACATCCATCATGGTGGCACAACATGGTGTAATCCTTGAGCAATTCCAACTTATGAGCATCCTTGAACGATCTTGAGCATCATAGAGGACTTCATAGCATACTTGGCTCATCAAGGAACCAAAATGGCCCATCTTGCACCATGATGGCGCAACATGTGCGAGGATGGCGCAACAGGCATCAAGAGTGGTGCAAGAACTTCTAGCTTGGAGCAACATCATCACCTTGGCACAACAAGTACCATCTTGGCGCTACAAGGACATGCTTGGCGCAACAAGGCTTCTTCATGGCACAACAAGGCTTCTTCGTGGCGCAACAACATCCTTCTTGTCCCAACCCTTTAACAGATGGCGCAACAAGGTTCCCTTGTTGCTCCATATCACTCCCAAGTGCTCCAAACCTCTTCCAGGTACTCCAAACCCCCTTCAATATAATTTGTTCCTTTGGCACTTGATCCGTTTCTTTGTCAGATGATCCGTTCCTTTCTCAGATGACTCGTTCCTTTGTCACATGCTCCATGAACCCCAAGTGCTCAATTGAGTTTCAAGTGCTCCAAATGCTCCATGAACATGATCCAAATGCTCCATGAACATGATCCAAATGCTCAAGTCACATTTAGCACGACGGTTCCTTTTGAGTACATAACTATTCTACGTATAGCTAACGATTTGGACCAAAAGGGGCTTATAGCCTAGCGGTATTAGAAGCTAACGGAAATGCGCTCCTCAACCAAAGGTTAAAAGTTCAAGTCTCGCTGGAGACAAAAGGTGTAAATATAAGAGTAGGATAATGAGTGCGGGTGTTAGCCGTTCTAAAAAAAATTAATGATTTGAAAGAGAATTACAAATTCTTTAAATTGAAATGTGATGCTAGAGGTACACAGAATTTTACTATGATACAAAAGTGTTTAATACCAATTCGGTTTTTGGCATACAAAATCACCGCCGACGGAATAGATGAATATTTGAAGATGTTTGAGAGAACAACACTGAAGTATATGTATTTGTTTTGTGAATATGTTATCGAGCTTTACGGGAAAATATATATGTGGAAACTTATAGGAAGTGATATTGAATATTAATTGTTTGTGGCATATAAAGCAACACACAGTTTTCCAGAATGATTGAAAGCATTGGTTGTATGTATTGAGGGTGGGAAAATTGTCCAAATTCATGGCAATGTCAATTTACACGAGGTGATCATGGAATCCCGACAATAATACTAGAACCAGTGACATCACAAGACCTATGGTTTGGCATGCATACTTTGGTGTTGACGGGTCAAACAATGATTTAAATGTTCTTAATCAATCACATAAATTCCATGATATTCTAACAGGAAAAACACATGACTTTGCGTGTGTAGTGAATGGAAATCAATACAAGCATCGATATTATCTTGCTAATAGGATATATCTTGATTACACTACATTTTTCAAATTGTATGCAAATTCACAAGATGAAAAACAAAAATTGTTCAAGGAAATGCAAGAATCGGCAATGAAGGATATGGCGGAGTCCTAAAAAATGACACATAGTGAAACGCTGATCCGGACAAAATAAGCAAGATAACATATGCTTGTATCATATTATATAATATGATAAATATGAGAGAAGGGTCGGACTATTTTTCTATTTGTATTTATAATCCGTACAATGCACTTGATCCGCATGAACAATTTGTACCAGATAGATAGCCCCCAATACTTTTCAAGAGTTATAGAAATAATATATAGCAAAGAAAGAAACGTACAACAATCTTGGCCAAAATTTAACAAACCATATATACCAAATGCAACATCTTAACGACGATGATGACAATGAAGACATGAATAATGAAGAGTAGCTTTTTTTTTCAATTTTTATTATGTAATTTTCAAAATTTCTAAATTAATAAAACTTTTTTATATAAGGACCCATATGTGTAATTTATTAATGTGGTTGGGTCAGTAGTTGTACAAAAAATGAAAGGATCGATACTTGGCAAGTTTTACAGCAGGTCTAACATTCAAGAAATCTTTTACTTGGAAGGAAACAGAGATGTCCTCAACAGAAAAAGGTATGCTGCATTTTGAAAACACATATTGTAAATCTGTAATGAATAAGAAGTTGTTGTATAATTTTTAAAGTTTGTATATATATATGACATGATAGCATTCATTAAAGAGAACACCATGAAATATACCTGGAACTGTGTTCGATGTTCCAGTACAAAGGAATTACTGCTAGCATCATTAGAATCTTTTTCCATCCGACTCCTTATGCTTGAAATAACCTGGTTAAAAATAAGTAATTTATATCCCATATTATATGGAAACAGTTATAGTTCCCTAAAGATGAAATTCCATATCTAGCTAGTACTTACATTTGGGGATATATTATGAGTGTTGTATTTGGCATTTAAATAATTAATGCAGATTGTGTACAATTGCTACATGCTTAGAATCTGGAAAAAGTTGAAGTGTTAAGTGAGAGAATCAGCAAGAATTACATATGCATCCAATCATGTTTTATTTTAGTAAAATTCCGTAAAGCATGTATGAGAGAGAGAGAGGGAGAGTTACAGGGCATAGCTCATGGGTGATTTCATAAGATATCTTGTGCTTTTGGTGTTTAACCTGAGGGTTATCAAAATATGGGTTAACAAATAGAACAATGAAACATTAAAATAAATAAGTTGGTATGAAATTAGACAAAAGAAAAAACAATCTTTATCAAGGAGAGAATTAACCATACTAGAACATGTAAGGTACAACTTAGATTGAAGAAACATACCAAGAACCGAATAGCTTGTCTGATATGGACAAGTTCATTCCAAGCTGAGCTAGCATACTGTAATATAAAAAATAATTTTTTAGATCATAGAATAGTCGAATAAGAGTTAGTTGATCTCCTTACAAAAACGTTATTTGAACATTTAGAACTTAACCCAATTTTAAATGTTGTCATTTTGTAGCAATGCATACATTTCTACATAAATTGCTAAACTACAAACTCAAATTCTTTAACTTACAAAATAACTCGTAATCAACGCGATATCAGTTTCTCAAAAACAGAGTTAACAGGGATAAGTGTGTTTTAGAAGTAGAATTTGAACTTGATCATTTGAGGAATGAAAAAGAGTTATGGAATAGTATGGCATGTACCATTAGAGAGGTTTGTCACGGGATGCTTCAATCACCGTGTGCCACTTAGTGTTTTCTCCGACTAACTCAGGCTAACTTCGATGGCTTCGATGTATTAACGATTAAAGGAAGCAAGAGAAACGACAATAAACACTTCTAAGAAAAGAGCTTCTTTATACAACTTAACTTCTTACAAGAGAACTTCTTCGATGGTTTGGACAAATGAGTCCTCCCCCTATTTATAGGCATCCTACACCTCCTCAAAAGGAAGTTTCTAGATTTCGTATATTCCTGAGTATTCTAGATCGTTCTTACAAGATCCTTATCTATATACAAAGTTCTACACAATTCTATTCTATACTTTTGCATCCTAGAGAATTCTAGGTTGTTCTAGGGACTTATGGTAGATTATTACTTGTTCTACCATCTTCTTGATCAGTCTGGAAGATTCTAGAACACCGACTCGTGACACCCTCCCCCACTGAAATCCTTGACGTCCTCGTCAAGCCTTGGACTT